ACCTAGCTAATACATATTTTAAATATTTTATTTATTATTTTTATTTTTTGTGTATGAGTTATTGCTTCCATGTGTATAAGTGTACCAGTGTTGTGCAGTGCCTAGAGAGGTCAGAAGAGTGCATCAGATTCCCTTGGAACTGGAGTTACAGATGGTTGTTAGCTGCCATGTTGGTGATGGGAATTGAACCCAGGTCCTCTGCAAGAGCAGTCAGTGAGCCATCTCTTAGCCTCTAGCTAATATTATAGAATAGTGAAAACTAATGAAGTTGTCATATTTTTGTGTACATTGATGATTGTAAAGGTAAAATGTTGTGTTTTTAATGCAGTGCTGGAAATGTACAGTAAACTAAAAGAACAGATGAATGCAAAAAGGTGAGTTAGCTTCTTTTCTGTTGTTTTATTTTGGTCCTTTTGAGACAGGGTCTCCTGTATCCTTCTTTTCTGTTGTTTTAAATAAGATTTTTCCATTACTGTAAACACAGGTGAACTTAGTATAAATTATGGTGAATTGTGAATTTTGCCTATGCTAATCCTTGTTCATGCTGTTTACTTATCATTATCACTCAATAAAGCAGAGACACAATTAATTCATTATTGATGAATTCTTGTCCTTTATTAGTGATTTCAAAGATTGAAAGTATTGACAGAGGATAAATAGACAACAGAACAGGAATCAGAACTTCTGTTAACTTACCAACATGTTCTACAGCATGCAGTTGAGGGCTGAGTGTGCAATGTGGGATGAAGGTACAACATAGTGACATTTTGACAGTTGGGGTGAAGCGTGCTTCCCTTTTGTTTCATAATACAAATAAAACATGACAATGGAAAATAATTTGCAGTAGTTTATTCGTTAACATAGGAATATTGATAGAATGATTTAAAATGAACAATTCCAAAATAATACTGAAAAGCAAGAATAAACAAGACACGTTTGGACTGGGGAAATAACTTTTCTTGATTTATTAATAACTGTTTTTCATAACATCTACAAATCTGTAGTTGAAAAAAATTAATCTTTGCTTCATAGCTACATGTTGAATTTCATCAGGCTTTGCCAATTGGTACTAAATAGAATAAGGTTTATTTCCTTATTAAAATAAACAAGCCAGAGAAGATAGTCTTTTACTTATTTAATATAACTATTACTATATTTTTTCTTGTTGTACATTCTCATATTTTAAAGCTTCAAATAGTTTTATGTGTTTTCCAACAAAACAAAACATGTAAAACATACACACGAACAGCAGGCCCTACTTATTCTACTTTTCATTGACCAGTCCTCCTTCATGGGGCAAAAGCTTACCTCTGAACCAGTCATTTTGCTATTTATATCTTTGTCTTCAAGTAACTATTATGATTGCCTTACTGTTCTCCAGATTTTAGGGCATTATCTATTTCTTCAATAACATACTGTACTCTAATATTTATGTTCAGATTTTTCCAATTATGCCTCACATATCATATACCTTCTTTCCTACTTGAAAAAACATTGGTTGTTGTGTGGGTGTTTTTTTTTTTTTTTTTTTTTTGAGACAAGACCTCATTCTAGTCCAGACTGGCTTGGAACTCACTCTAATAGCCTGAGCTAGCCTAGAGCTTGCAGTAATCCTTGTCCCTTGGCCTTTACAGTACTGAGATTGCAGGTGTGAGGGTCTGTACTTTTTAATCTGAAATAGCTCCGTTTTTCTTTGTTTTTCATGAAAAAGTCCAGATCAGTTCTTATAGCCCAGGACATTTTAGTTTTGCCCGATTTGTTTCCCTGTGATTGGATTCAGACTGTATGGTTTTGATAAGACTATGGCATCAGTGGTATTTGTGACTGCTCTTTGAATGCCATTAGTAGATATTTACTGTTAGGTTGTCTCTAGGCTATGCTAATTTAAGCATTTGCTTAAGGAAATGACTACCAAATCTTTTTATAAACGTGTATTTTTCTTGTCACGATTAATTAGCAGTAATTAGTATTTAGAGTCTTGTTTCCTAATAACTTTTCACCTAGGAGTTTTAGAATTTCTTCCTTAATCAGTTAATACATTGGAGTTATAAAACAGTGGCTTTTAAAAATATTTTTATTTAGCTGGTCATGGTGGGGCATGCCTTTAATCCTAGCACTCGGGAGGCACAGGCAGGTTGATCTCTGTGAGTTCAAGGCCATCCTGCTCTGCATGGAGAGTTTCAGGCCAGCCGGGGCAGAATAAATACTGGAAGACCCTGTCTCAAAAAAAATTTTTTTTTAAATTTACTATTTTAACATTTATTAATTAGCTTTTTAGTACAAAGAAGAGATTTCCATTTTTATTCTCTTTTTTGGCTGCCTTTCCCCCTTATTATTGCTATAGAGTCACAGATATTTAAATAAATATATTATAGTTTCTTTTGTCATTATTTGATGTATAAATTGTTCCAGTTTTGTCTAGAGAAATCCTCAAACCATTTTGTCCTTGTCATTGTGTACTTTCTTGCTTATTGTATAATAAAATGTTTCTGGCTCTCATTGTACTTTTCTTGCCAATGCCTAGGCTCCTTTTAGACAGCAATGGTATTGAGAAACTAAGATTTGCATGCAAGATGGACTCATCACACAAACACACACAATTTTGAACTGTAGTTGTTTTGCTTCCATTTTTGAACAATAGTTTTAAGTTTGGCTGTTTTATGGTGTGTTTCTTTGTAGTTGCATTGCCTAGAGTTTTTGTAGTATATTGAATCTGTCTTTCACTATGTCTTTCACTAATTTTTAAGCCATCCTTGCTTCCAGTATTTCTTCTGACCTATTTTACCACCTCTCCTTTCTTTCTGAAGCTTCTAGTTACATGTATATTAGATTATTTAGTGTTGTCTGATAATTTTTAGGAGCCAATTTTTCCATTTTCACTATTTAATTGTGTTTTAATTTAGATAATTTTGAGGCTTATCTTTCAAGTATATTGAACTTCTTTCTCTCTCTCTCTCTCTCTCTCTCTCTCTCTCTCTCTCTCTCTCTCTCTCTCTCTCTTTGGTCTTTTTGAGACAGGATCTCCCTGTAGCCCCAGCTGGCCTAGAACTCACTATGTAGACCAGGCTGGCCTTGAACTCACAGAGATCCATCTGCCTTTGCCTCCCGAGTGCTGGGATTAAAGGTGTGTGCCACCACGCCCTGCTTCTGTTTCTTTGTTTCTTAATGACCATTTTTTCCATTTTTTGCAGGATTGTATAATTTCCACCTGTTTTCACATCCATAAATACTTTTTTTTCCTTCCATATCCAGTCTGCATACAATCTTTTGGATGTATTTTTCATTTCTGATTTTTTACTTTTAGATTTTAAGCATTTGCATTTTATGGTTTGTTATAAATTCTGTTTTTCTGTTAAAATATCTCATTTCTTAATACATACTGATTGCCTATTCTACCAGTCTATAACTTTATGATAGTTATTTTCAATTTCTTACCTATGAATTCCAGTATCTAGACTACCTATATATGATTCTATTAATTTTTCTTTTAATTTTGTGTTAAATTTCGTGCTTATATGTCTATTACCACTTTTCTTTCTGTATCAGACATTGTATTTAAATATAGTAGAGACTGGAGTAGCTACTTCTATGGTAGGATAGCGTGGTGAACTGGGAGGTCAATGAAATAGACAGTGGCAGAATTAATAACCATTAGAGACTGCTCTCCATTTAGTGATGACACAAACAAGCTTTGAAGTGTCTCTTCAAACAGATATCTTGTCAGTGGTTTAACATAGAATGGATAATTACAAAAATCAGTAATTAGATTTGATATTTTAAAAATCAAAGTTTCCACAATAAGGACATTGTCACATTGTAATAATAGACTTACAAATAGAGTAATAATTATTTTTATAAAGTAAATTCTGTTATATATTAAATGGGATATGTGCATACAGAACTGGAAATACAGGTAAGTGAGTGGGTGGAATGTGGCCAAATACTAATAAGGCAGTTGCTAACATGGGTACTTTCCAGTGGTTATGGATTACTATTATAACTTTTTTAAAACAAACATTATATATACCAAAAGAGAAATGCTATTGCACATTTGGTTTGTGTGTAGAACAGGCATTTTAGGATACTTATGGCTAAATTTTAGAAAGGATTCATTGTCTAATACCTGAGTTATGTTCTCTGTACATGTTCAAAAATAGTCTGTATTTTATTCTGAATTTCCTAGAAAACAGAGCCTAAGGTATGATCTTATGTATTACACGTTTTAAGAGTATATAGTCTTAAAGTCTTAGAAAACTCGGAAGCAGGGTTGAGGGAAAGAGAAATGAGATGGGGAGCTTGGGAGAGCAAATACGAGGGTAGGCTGTTGAGTTAGTTATTGCTTAGTATTAGTCAATTTCAAACATCTTTTGAGAGGTTGTATAAATTATTGTAAATCAGATCATTCTATCCTGGAAGAGGAAAGGAGAATTCATTTTTTGTATTCTTTTCTAATTGGCTAACAAACAGTTCTACTTGCTGGCATTTTTAGCTCCCCATGTTTCTGAGTTGTTGAATTGAAATCAGTCACTTAACCAGTGATTTTCACCTGACTTTCATGATACTTAGTGATAGTTCTAATTACCTTAAATAGTGGTGTAAAATTAACAAAAGAAGTTAAATAAATTTTACATTGATTTAGAAGTAAATGTATGTTACAGAGCTTTGATGGTGCTGTTGTGCAGGTGGATATGATGGTAGGAGAGTTGTGTGAAATTACTTATGAAATAAATATGTTACAGATTGACAATTGCATTTACATTTAAGATATTGTACTTACTATGATAATATTCTTAATGTTATAGATTTAGATGAAATTAAATAAGGAAGTTTATGTTAGTGGAAACAATGAATTTTCAGCTTGTCATGTGTATATAGTGTACATAGTTTATGCTTCGTAATAGAGATACATGTTACTTTTAACTCCCCCCGCCCCAGTGCTATGAACTGAATTCAGGGTCTCGTACATGTTAGGCAAATGCTCTGTCACTGACATCCTCTATCCCTATTTTACTCCTTGATGGGAGTGCTAGACTGATTAATTACTTGTTTTACTTATAAATTAAGGTGATAAGCACTTTTTACAATTCCCTTTTTTAACTTCTCACAGATATTATTCAGCCCTTAAAACTATGGAACAATTAGAGAATGTGTACTTTCCCCGGGTTAGTCAGTACCGCTTTTGTCAGCTAATGATGGAAACTCTTCCTAAACTCCGTGAAGATATTAAAGAAATCTCCATGTCTGATCTCAAGGACTTTTTGGAAAGCATTCGAAAACATTCTGACAAAATAGGTGAAACAGCAATGAAACAGGTGAGATTAAAAATAATTTTTTTTTTGTCTTCTTGAGACATGGTCTCCCTGTAGCCACAGCTCACTATGTAGACTAGGCTGGCCTAGAATTCACAGAGATCTGCCTGCCTCTGCCTCCTGAGTGCTGGGACTAAAGGAGTATGCCACCACATTCAGTTGGATTTATGGTTATTTATTAAATTTAAGTAAAGTCAGTCTGACTTGAATTCTTCAGTTACTTGCTATCTAAACTCAAAACTCTCCACAATTCTTTCCACTTAGGTGGTTTTACATGAACTTTTGCCAGTAGTCAGATCTTCCTTAAAAATAGCTAAGAAGTGTCAACCATAGAAGTGAAAGCAATATAATGCTAAGATCCTAAATGATTCCTATTTTTAAAAAAGATTATTTAAAATTTTCATTATGTGTATGTGTGTGTGAGAGACTGGATGTGGGTTTGTGCATGTAAGTACAGTGCCCATGGAGACCAGAAGAGGGCATTGGATCCCCTGGAGCTGGAGATAGAGGAGCCTATAACCTGCTTGTTGTGAATGCTGAGGTTCAAACTCAGGTCCTCTAGAATAGCATTGAGTGCTCCTATCTTCTGAGCCATTGCTCCAGCCCTATAAATTTTTCCTTTAAAAAAAAAATACTGTTTGAATTTTTAAAATCTTATAGTTCAATAATAAGAGCAGTACTAAGCGTAATAGAAAGCAAAATACAATATGGAAATTAACAAAGCCAAGAGTTGGTTCTTAATATTTTCAAATAAAATTAATAATCCTTTGCAAAAATATTTGAAAAGGAAGAGAGAAGCTATGAATCAGGAATTAAAAAGAGAATGTTGCTGTGTATGGCGGTGCATGCCTTTGATCCCAGCATTGGCAGTGGCAGGCAGATCTACTTAAGAAAATATTGAGGTTTGGAAAATACTGGGCTTAGTTGGTAAGGTGCTTGCCACCCAAGCATAAGGACCTGAGTTCGATCCCTAGAACAGGTTAAAAAAAAAAAAAAAAAACAGACTTGGTAGCACACACTTGTAATACCAGAGCTGGGGAGGCAGAGGTGGCTGGAACTCTTAGGATCACTCATCATCCCCAGGTCCCAGTGACAGATCAAGAACAAGATGGATGGCTCCTGAAAAATGATGCTTCTGTTTGACTCTTGTGCACTAGTCCACATATGAGCACGTACACACATACACACACACACACACACACACACACACACACACACACACACACACACACACACACACACACACACACACACACACACACAATTTGCAATAAAGGAAGATATTATGAATGATTTAAAAATATTTTTTTATTTCATGTGTATGAGTGTATTGCCTGCATGTGTGTAAGTGCACTCGTGTTGTATAATGCTGAGGGAGGTCAAAAGAGGGTGTGAGATTTCCCTGAAACTGGAGTTACAGTTTTTAGCCACCATGTCCATGGTGGGAATCGAACCTAGGTCCTCTGCAAGAGCAGTCAGTACTCTTTACTCCTGAGCCATCTCTCCAACCCCAATGAACAAGTTTTTTTTTTGAACACTGTATGTTGGCACACATCTGTAAACTTAGCACATGGGAAGCTGAGGCAGAAGGATCTGATGTTTGAAGCCAACCTGAAATACAGAGTAACTTCCATTCCAGCCTCCTAACATAGCAAGAGCCTAAATCAAATAAATATGTAGGTAGGTAGGTAGGTAGGTAGGTAAGTAGATAGTAAAATGATGGATCAATTTTGACTAGAGTAAATTTTTGTTTTGTTTTGTTTTGAGACAGGGTCTCTCTTTAGCCCCAGCTGGCCTAGAACTCATTATGTAGACCAGGCTGGCCTTGAGCTCACAGAGATCTGCCTCACTCTGCCTCCTGAGTGCTGGGATTAAAGGTGTGCACGACCATGCCCAGCTGACTAGAGTAAATTTTATAATATGAATTTTACTCTTTCTGAAATAGGCACAACAGCAGAAAATCTTCAGTGTTGTTCTACAGAAACAAAATAATATGAAATTTGGGAAAAATATGCATATAAATGATGACAGAGTTTCAGAAGAAAAGAATGATGTATTGAAACATGTACTTGAAGAGGAGACTGAGAATGAAGAGGAGGTAATGGGTTTTCTTCCTTTATGATGAGGATCTGTGTGACTCTTAGTCTTCTCATATACAAATGAAGTTTCTGTCAGTCACACTGAGGTGGAC